ATTTTATTTTTTTGCTGATGTACTGTGCTTATGGAGATTCTAAAAAAAATTTGCAAAGGTTGGATGATTTTTGGGAATTGGAAAAGGTAGAAAGTTGAAAGTGAAATAGAAAGAGTGGGGAAGGGTGTCAAATATTTAGAAAAAGAAAAATTGGATATAAATTGGGGAGGAGGAGAGGAAGAAGTGAAGTTTCAGATACTGGGAGTTTACCCCCTGTCGCGGGTGGATTTTTGAAGGATAGGTTATCAAGAATTTTATGAGGGGAAAAAAAGGGAGGGTGCGTTGAGGTAATGGGAGTCAAAAAACGTTTCTATGGGGGCAAAGAAGGGGAAGTATGAAAATATAGAGTACCCAAAACCCCAATGGGTTGAAACTTGGGGGGTAAAAGCAGCACGGGGACGGGTTGGGGGAGCGGAGATGTCCGTTTTAAGGGCAATGTGTGGTGTAAATATTATCAGAAAATTTGGGGTGTGGAAATTGGAGAAGGTGTGGATTAATAAAAGTATTATCAGGGGCGAAGGGGGGTTGTTGGGGGGTTTGGTCATTTAGAAGAATGGATCCCAGTAGAATGAATGGAAAGTTTATAAATAAGGGAAGGAAGGCGGGGTGGGGGTCGTCCTCAAAGGGTTGGAAGAGGGGAAAGGGGAGTTTTTGGAAAGGGGGCTTGGTTTTCCGAAAGCGGCGTGAGCGGTTAGATAGGATGAATGGGGGACGAATGGATTTGGACCTGCGATCTGTTGGGTGTAGCGGGGAAATATTTAGTAAGGGGGATTCGGGGAAACCGGGTTTTTTTCAAAGTCGGACTTGAGTCCTGGAAAGGGGAAAGTACAATGCCTGCACTTTAAAGGGGGGGTTTGGGATAGGCATTTGGGGGAATGTTTTTTATCTTTAATGTTTATTTTCTGACGTTGTATTTAGCACCTCGAAAAAAACATTTGATAATGTCGAGTTTGGTGAAAGTGTTGAATGATGATGAAAGTATTTTCTTTTTGGGGATTTTCTTTCTTTTTTGGGTCACCCTGCCTCGGTGGGAGACGGCCGACTTGTTGAAAAAAAAAAAAAAAAACATTTTATAAAGAATAACTATAGTTTAATATACAGAAAACAATGAGAAATAAATATAAAGGACTAATGAAATGGATAAATGAACATTTAACATCACTTTTACCTTTATTGAAGACACTTGTTGGCGTATGGAAGACGGCGAGGAGGGGAGAGGGAGGAGAGGTTATCTCTACCACCATCACAACCACTACCACCCTCTACCACCATCACAACCACTACCACCCTCCACCACCATCAATACCAACCTCTACCACCATCACAACCACAACCACCCTCTACCACAAAACACAACCACTACCACCCTCTACCACAATCACAACCACTACCACCCCTACCACAATCACAACCACTACCACCCTCTACCACAATCACAACCACTACCACCCTCTACCACAATCACAACCACTACCACCCCCTACCACAATCACAACCACAACCCCCTCTACCACAATCACAACCACTACCACCTCTACCACAATCACAACCACTACCACCCTCTACCACAAACACAACCACTACCACCCTCTTACCACAATTCACAACCACTACCACAATTACACCACCCCCTACCAATACTACCACCCTCTACCACTATCACAACCACACCACCTTACCACAATCACTACCACAATCACTACACCCTCTACCACATCACACCACTCTCTACCACAATCACTACCACCCTCTACCAACATCACAACCACTACCACCATCACAACCACTACTGCCCTCTACCACCATCACAACCACTACCACTCTCTACCACCCCCTACCACCATCATTACCACCCTCTACTGACGAGAAACAAAGCCAGACTGACTCAGAATGTGTGGGATGCTTTGTGTGGGCACAGGCAGACACATTCAGTACAGCAGACCACTGTTAACTCAATGAAAACCAGGGCAAATGAAAACCAAGGTTCCACTGTATATTAACCCTTTGACTGTCGCGGTCGTATATATACATCATGGGAGATACCGTGTTTGACGTATCTATACGCATAAATTCTAGCGGCTTCAAATCAAGCGGGAGAGGGCTGGTAGGCCTACACGAGAGAAAATGGGTCTCAGTGGTCGGTGTGCACCCTGTGAAAAAAATCTGGGACTCAGCGGTGCATTGTGGGAACGCCATCTTGGTAGTCCATTTTCACCATGCCTCGCGGTAAGAAGTTCCTCACTCCTCGGCGGATTGGAGGTCTTTTGTTCCCAAGTGATAGCTCAAACAGTGATGATAGTGTCAGTGAAAGTGAATTCCCTGGTTCTGAAGTGGGTGTGACCGAAAAAATTACCCAGGATAACATAATTAGTGATGAAAACCCAGATGACCCACAACCTTCCACCTCTGGTGCTGGGCCGGCTCGTTCATGTTCACCTGTACCAGGACGAAAGAGGAAACTATTTGCCCATGTACAAGACTCAGATGTGAGCAGTGCAAGTGATAGTGATAGTGATTTCAAGGTTATTGAAAGCAGTTCTAGTTGTGACAGTGAGGGTGAATATTCCCCAGTGAAGCGGCAGTATATACGACGTCGCATGAGGTCTGGTAGTGTGCCATATGCTCTTCCAAGAGGAAGGAGTACATCTCAGAGCACATCCCATGGCCCTACACCACATCCTGATAGTGAAGATGACGATATTGTTACGATGGGTATAAATGATTGTAGTGAGGCAGCAGGCGGTGGTGGTGATAGTGATGGTGGCATGAGTCATGTGACACCAGCAGCGGGCCACGCTACTACCTGCGCTGCTGACTCGCACAACTACAACCAGCCTCACCCGACCCCACACTCCACAACCACATTACAATATCCAGAACGCACCAGCTGACCGCATCTGGGATTGGCAGCAAGATGACGAGTTTGTTCCCAATCCCCATGACTTTGATGGAGGACAAAGTGGAATACGGCCATCATGTACACTTGGGAACAATCCCACTGAACTGAAATGCTTTCAGTTGTTCTTCGATGAACCCCTGATGGACATTATTGTCAGGGAAAGCAATACATACTATGAGTACACCATGGCAAACACTATTCTGTCACCAAGATTACGCCTACACCAGTGGAAGGACACAACTGTGGCAGAGATGTATCTGTTCTTTGCCACAATAATGCTTATGCCACATGTGTATAAACATAGTGTCAACACATACTGGGCGACAGACCGCCTGATTTCAACTCCTGCTTTCAGTGACATTATACCAGTGAATAGATTTGTGTTACTGTTACGTATGTTACACTTTTCAGACAAAACCAGGCCTGACAGAAGCAACAGGTTTAATAAGATCAGACGTGTTTTATGTACCTGAAACAAAAGTGCTGTATGTATTTTTATCCCTTCAGGAAGCTTGTTATTGACGAGTCTTTGATTTTGTTCAAAGGAAGACTCTCATTCAAGCAGTATATACCAAGCAAGAGGAAACGCTTTGGTATAAAGTTATTTGTTCTGTGTGATTGCAAAACTGGTCTGGTTTGGATATAATTGTGTACACTGGCGGTAAAACAATGGAAGATACCAGGAAGTTACTGGGTATATCTGGTGATGTGGTTAGAACAATGATAGAGCCATATCTGGTAGGGGCATATTTTATATACTGACAACTGGTACACAAGCCCTATACTCAGTGATTTCTTGCGAGTGAACATGACAGATGTGTGTGGCACAGTGCATAGAAATCGTAAACATATCCCTAGGTTCGATGCTGGCAGTCGTAGAGGTGAAGTGCAGGTGTTTGCTGCCAATGACATCATGGCATTTCGGTGGCATGACAAACGTGATGTCACACTGCTGACATCAGTTCACTGACACGAAATGGTAGACACTGGCAAGCAGAATAGAGAGACCAATGAACCCATTGTAAACCTGCAGCTGTGATGGATTACAACCTCAATATGCACTTAGTGTGACAAATGTGACATGCAGATTGGGTTTGCTGACTGTGTTCGCAAGAGTTATAAGTGGTACATAAAACTGTTTTTCCATCTTCTTGACATTTCCATGCTGAATGCTTATAATATGTATAAGTTGAAGACCAAGAAGAAACCCAAATATGGTGAATTTTGTTTGTCAGTCATCAGACAAATAATATTCAAGTACCAAGAAACAACACCTGCAATAGACAGCGCCACGAAATTATCAACACATGTCCTCTCGTCTGAGGCCTGGTGATCACTACCCCATACCACTGCTGCTACTACTGCCAAGAAAAATGCTCAGAAGAGGTATTTTGTCTGTGGACATACCACAAAACACCCACAAAACGCAGAGACACTCGTTTTATGTGTGAGGAGTGTAAGACACCATTGTGCTTATACCCATGTTTCAAAGAATTCCACAAGCTGCAGCACTTCTAGAAAAGTGTCCAGTGATTGTACATATGTATATATATTATAAAACAATTGTAATAAACATTTGTTTACATTGTTTGTGTAAACAAGTTTTAGCAACATTATAATGATACGAGTGTTTTTGCTATAATTGTGTTACATTCAACGAGTGTATATTTGAACATTGCACAATAATTTGGTCTCACAGGCCACAAAAGTTATGTGAAAAAATAAAATAGTGAAAAAAACAAGAAAACCATCGAATACAAGTAAATCAAAGTTACCGGGTGAGCGGCAGTCACCGCTGTTGCGCTCGCAGATCAATTTCAGCAAACTTCAGGACTCTATATCTCGGTAAGTACTGATGGGAAAAAATTTTTTTGGGGACTAAAACAATCAGAAAAATAATCTTAACATTTTCAAAGAAAAAATAATTTTTTTTTTTTCGAATATTTTGCGACACCAGGAGACACTTCAGGATTGGGCCTTTCAACAGTCAAAGGGTTAAATAATGTATCAGACCTTATTAAGAAATTAATAATGATATTTTCACATTAACACCTTATCTATTATTATTTCACATGCAGTACCATAGGCCAATTCTTTTACCTGGTTTGATGGGGCTTCCTTTAATTCATCAGTGAGTGGCTCAACTTTTTCCATAATATTAAGATTGGGTGGAAGACTCTTCTCCAATATCACTCCATCGTATAAATTTGGAAAAATGATGCTCATGGGCTTCACCAAAGATGGAAGTCTAGAGAAGAATACAAATAAATAAAACAAGATAAATCTTATGTAGAGATTAGTTTTTTCATTCACACACAACTGCCTTTGACTATTTGGGCAGGAGTGTTTACAGCAGGTGAATTTATTTCTTTTTGTTGCGGGGTCACCTTTTTTTTTTTTTTTTTTTTTTTTTTTTTTTTTTTTTTTTTTTTTTTGAGGGGGGAATCACTTTACCTTGATGGGAAGATGGGCTAGTGTATTAAAAGAGGGTATTTATTTTATTCTCTCTTCTACATTTTGTAATTTTATGTTATAACATATTAACCACTTCATTCCTTATTTTTTTTAAGACATGAAATGTCACAACAAAGAAACATACAAGAGGTTGCCAGCTTACAAATTCCCCAAGTCATTCACATCTATATTCACCATACAAACCGGGCACTTTAATAACCAATTAAAATCTATCAGTTGCCAAGCTGCAGAATGAACATTATAGAAACAATCATCTTTTGTGCTATCATTTTATTAAAAACTTTTTTATGATTCAAAACCTAAGAGTGTAACTTATTTTGCAGATATCCTGTAAAGAATTGCTTAACAGGCCACAACAGCCTGATTGAGCAGGCAATCAAAAGAAAAGGTCAGGTTGCAAGGGTAGAGAAACCTAGAAACAAGTCCCAAATATTCACTGCCTGCATTTGTTAGAAAACTCCAATAATTATTATATTATTATTATTATTATTATTTAGTATAATCAAGGGGAACAGCAAATTCATATTGTCATACAGCACTGAGGAACTGACCCCAGGAGCAGGAGGATGGCTCCAGTTCACTGGATTGAGCCCTTCACCAGCATCACTTCTCCATGAAGGGGACAATCTCCAATACAATACCAGATCCTACTGTGCCTCACCTGTATTCCTGAGTGTTGTGCAGTGGTGCTACAAGTGAGCTACCAGTAGGTGACATTATACAAGTTGCAGACATAGAAGCTTCCACTGGAGATATTCCTAGGTGACGAAAACTTTCATTTAAGTCATCTTTTGCTTCGAATTTTGGCATGCTCTGACAGGTGAGATCTTCAAAGAATTTACACTGTATCCTGGCCAAATTATAACAGATGAATTACTATGTAATACTGTAGTGCCTTGCTAATGTCATGTTATTATAATTTAAGGTTCTGTATGATCATTCACTGGATCTATTTTTTACCATGATACTTATTGCAAAGTCTAAATTTAAAATTTATTAATATTCTGGCCACAAAATGTACAACTTGTGATTTTCAAGAGTACCACTTTCAAAATGAATCATATTAACCCTTTGAGGGTCGACAGGCCTCTCCAAGACTTGTTTCTCAGGGTCGGCCAAATTTCAAAAAAAAAAAAAATATTTTTCTTATGAAAAGATAGAGATTTTCCTGATCATAATGACACCAAAAGTATGAAATTTGATGGAGAACTTACGGAATTATGGTCTCGCGAAGTTAGCGGTCTCAACGATGTTTACGCATCGGCGATTTTGCCCACTGAGCTCTATTTTTGGCCAATTCCAATGTACAAGTCGACAAAATCATAACTATTCGCTAGAACTCTGTTTTTTGTATCGAATAAGTACAAGAAACCACCCATTTACCGATTTCAACTATCCAATAAAGTGGTCAAAATTTAGCAATTTTGCCAATTTCACACAAATTTCAAAAGATGCCAATTTCCGAATAGGGTCCAGAATAAACAAAGACATTCTGGCACTAAAATAACAAGTTCTCTGTTCATTAGTCCATCCCCAGGCCCCTCTTATATTTCTTTGGCTTTCCATTTTCGATTTTTATTCTTACAAAAAATAGAAGATTTACTGTTATGCAGACTACTGCATTAGTGTAGAAATGGTATAAATAATATCAGCACACTTGTGAAAGAATATTAGACTCACCAGTTGACGTGTATTGAACGCTTGGCATGATTTGTTTATTTTGAACTATGGTTAAAAATCGTAAAATTTTCTGCTAATTTGAGCTCAATTTCAAGGTACTTTTCATTTGTAAAACCAGTTCAAAATCATCCAATTTCTGTAAAATATATTACATTCTATAAAATGAGACCGAGAGGGGGGTAGAAAATAGATTACAACAATAACTACCATACGGAAAATACAGTGCTAATCGCTGTTTTATTCCAAAAAACACGCTCATAGTTTTTTTTTTTCTCATTATGCACTGTGTGCTGCAGGATTTTTTTTATACGGGCACAATGACCACATAGACCTTCTTTTTTTTAATATGTTGCCTACCAAGCTTTCTCCCTCTAGATTTGAGGCGCTAGTAATTGTGGATACTGTACGTCAAAAAAACGGTGTAAAGCCTTTCTAGTCGGACCGAATCCCCCCAAAGGGTTAAATACTACGTATCATGATTAATACTATGACAGGCTACAAATGTATCAGTAATTTACTGGAATGTACACCTTCCATCCGACTTATGACTGCTCGACTTACGACCATCGACTTATGACCGTGTTTTTTATGCAAATTTCTGGGTAAACAACTTTTGTGTTTGTACAAAGTGTTTTTTATCCTTAACCCTTACAGTATAAAATACAGTACTAACAGCATAAATAGTAAAGTAAATACGTGTAAATACCAAATAAAAATAAAATAAAGTTCATTACAAAAATGTTTTTGTTGATATTCAGTAGTAACAGTTCGATTATGACCATTTCGACTTAGAACGGTTTTCTGGAACCCGAACTTGGTCGTTTAGTCCGGGTTGGTAGGTGTATATAGAAATATTTTGAAGCATAATTGTTTTTCTTAAAAGATTTATTAAATTTCTTGCATATACTTTTATGGGTGACCAATAATAATACGTTAAAATGGAAGTAAAGAGAGGTTCATGTCGTTTGTAGCTTTCTTACTATGTGCGGGGTTATTTGTGTATAACACTGTAGCATTACAAAAATGGTGATTTTTAATTTGTATTGGAAGATTTTAAAAAAGGTTTGTAGTGCATAATATATTTTTGTGAGGCTTATGTGTAAGCTTCACAAAATACAAAAAGAGAAACCTGACTCATTTGTTACTTTAATTATGAATAAAATAATTCATGTATGTATGGAAAAATGGAGATTGATTGCAAGGATCAGCATACAAAACAAACAGTACTAACACCATTACTAGGCATTGGTTTTATGCTTATGTTTTTTTATTCAAGTTTCCAGCAGGAAATTGGTGTGGGTCAGAGGTACAGTGGGCCCTCGCCTTTTCGTAGTGCCGGCAATCATAAAATTGCATTCATAGGGGTGTTTTCGTAAATATAACATGGACTCGTTTCTCATAGGTTGACTCACGAGTCGTAGTTCGTCCGGGACCGCGGTTTAACCATGGCGTGAGCCAGGGCGGGCAGCCCAGTTGGCATTGTTTACCAGAAGTGAGCGAAGGTCCCCTCACGTGCTCCAGAAAAATATTTATAATATTCCATTTATTTTAGTGCTGTAAAGTACTAAATAAGTACCATGGCTCCAACGAATGCTCCTAGTGCCAAGACTGTGGCAATGAAGGTGAGAAATCGATGATTTAAGAAAATCACCATTGAACAATATGTAAGTGGTACAAGTGTGCGCCGAACTGTCAAGGTGTATAAGAAACCCTACACAAACCTTATGTGCATAGTGGCCAAGAAAAGTAAATAAAAGGATATGTTGTTGCAAAGGGAGTAACACTTTTTTTGCTGGACAAAAACTGGATCACCAGTATGGTAGAGGTTGAGAAGTATTATTTGTTGTGAATAAATGACAAACTATTGCAGGTGATACTTTATGTTAGTTTATTTGTGAAAAAGGCTAGGGCAGTAGCATGAAGATTTGGTAAAGAAAATTGCCTTGCCAAATAGTGGTGAAGTGAGTGATTTTTAAGGCCAGCAAAAGGTGGTTTGAGAAAGATTTAAGGAACCCGTAACTGGCATACACAGTGTGGTAAGGCAATGGTGAGGTCTGCCAGTTCGGACACTCAAGGCGGCTGAAAAATTATGTGCATGAATTCAGGGAGTACATGAGGGCTGAAGGACTATACCTGAACAAGTGTTCATTGTGACAAATACAGGCCTCATTTTGGAAGAAAGGCAAAGAGGACCTTCCATTACACTAGTGGATAAGGGCAATGCCAGGACACTAGCCTGTGAAAGAAAGGGTGACGCTAATGTCTGTGCTCAATCAGCTAGTGTGGATTCAAGTGAAGCATAACTAGTGTACCATTCTGAAAAATCCCAGTGTTCAGGGAAAAAACATTGTTTATGAAGAGTAAATTGTGTGTTTTGGGAAATTAATAGTAAGGCATGGGTCAAGAGGGTAATTTCCGTCGAGAGGGTTCAATGAAGTGTTTTGGCCTAAGTGTGAAGGTGTATCTCCTGGATAAAGAAATTGGATCTCAAGTGGCCTGCTAGTAATGGAAATGCACCTGCTCATCCTCCAAACTTGGATGGACCTAATTTTCGAGGAGTTTGGGTTCACCACAGTAATGTTCTTGCCCCCCGAATTCCATCCTCTCCCCCAATCCAGGCCAGCAGGTTATTGCCAAACTTTAAAAAATAATCTACACAAATGCAATGTTTCACAGGTGCTTGACTGTGAATCCCCCCCAACAGACACTCACTTGACCCGAAGGGAATTTTGGGAGGAGAAACACTTCAGCATCCTCCACTGCTTAACCTTATTGGTATGGCTTGGGAGGGAGTGGACTACCAGGATTTTGAACTCTGCGGAGGGAAATAACTGTGGCCAAGATTGTGTCGACAAGAGGGATTTTGAAGGATTTGGTGGACTCCAGACACTAATGAGCCTATGTCTGTTGTAAAATCAATTATGCCACTGGGGAGTTTCATGGGGTTGGATGTGTGTTTTGGAGGTTGTGAAGATTGGTGGATGACCACAATGTAGGAGCTCACAAACTGAGGAGACTGCAGAGCTTCGCAGGCAGGAGGGCAAACACTTCGCAGCTCAGTATCTTGCTGCAGAGGAGGAGGAAAGAGAGATGGAAGTAGGTGCCTTCTTCAGAAAATTAAAGAGATTTTTTACTTTGTGGGGTTAAGATTGAAAAGCTTTATGAGAGACATCTCCCTTAACATGGTTGTTGCAAGCCAGATTTGGTACTTGTACAAGAGACAAAGTCTTGGGCCATTTGAGGGAAGTGTTAAAGAGGATGCCAGATGAAATCAGAGCTCTCTCCACAGTTCTTTTGTGAGAAGGACTCCTGTGACTCTCAAGGTGGGTCCGAGTGGCAGTAAGAAACAGTGAAGAGAACGCAACCCCAGAAAAGCAAATGGTAACCTGAGGTGTTGATGGAAGGGGATTCCCCTTTCCCAAACTATAACAATCCACTTCTCTCTCCAGTTCTCCTACACTTAGAAGAAAGATCTCCTATAAAGGTAAGTTGTTATGGCTGTTAAATGTTTCAATTCTCATTTACCATTGTATTGTTTATGTACTAAGTATATTTCATGTTAAAAAAAAAAAATTATATACTTCTGGGTATCTGGACCGATTAAATATTAATTGTATTTACATTATTTCTTATGGCGAAAATTGATTCGTAAAATCGTAAATTTAGTTTTTTAGTAACGGCAGTCAGGAACGGGATTATTACGAACTTAAAGGGACCACTGTATATTTGTTGCATACATATTCAGTGAACTCTGTGGTTGGTAAAAATGAAATATACCAGCAAAGCCTAGGAAAACTTTGGGTGGCAGAAAGAAAACAAGTGTTTTGTACCTGTATTTATGGATAGTCTCCTAAATGGGGCAGCAGTACGGGCTGATGCCTCCACTCCTAATTGATGATGTTATGGTGGTGCCATACTCTGAAAGACTGTGCAAACTGGAAAAAAAATAAGATAAAAATATATAGTGCAATTATGATTGTTCTTAGCAAAAAATTCTTATGTTTTGTAATTTGGTCATATGAAGTCCTTCTGAGTCATGGGGATTTACTTGCAGGAATTATGGAACACTGAGCAGTGTGTGTGGGGGGCTAGTGTATGTGATGTAGTGAATCTTCCTTTCTTTGTAGGACTTTATGGCCACTGATGACTAATTTAAATATCATTAGGCAGAGGCACATCTTTTTTTGATTGTTGTGGCACATGGTCAACCTATCACTTATAATAATTATCATTATCATGGTGGAGCACTAAACCTTGGGTGGGGGAGATGGAAGGCATTTCAAGCTCAGTGCAGGTAGCTGGAGCACAGATCCAATTCCCTAGGATCAAGAGCCCTCCCTCCTGTGTCAAGATAACCTCCCTTGAGGGGAGAAATACCTGGTTCAGCCAGGAAGGAACAATGTGAAGTAATAAGGTATATATACCTGATGGTTAAGAAAACATAATGGTGTCACTGTTAGTGCATTAAAAGTGGAATGTCAGTTAGGTGTATGAGTTTCATCAGAGTATGGCTTTGGGTAAGTTATGTTAGCCTTTTTTTTTTTTTTTAAATATTTTACTTTTATAATTTATAGTTTTCTCCTGCCATAATGATCCTTTCAACATTATTGTACCTTTTCCTTAGCTCGCACTCTCTCAGATACTATGACTTAATCCATTTATTTTCCCACTGAACTCTCTACCCTTCACCTTTGTTTTCAATGAGCTAGGACATCCAACTTTTTCCATTCATAAACAGGGCAAACCATCTCTGTCTATCATTGCACTACATCAATTGACATTCAAAACATCCAGCATTATAAGTTTTTCTTCCTCTTTTTAGTTAATTCGTACAGTGGGGTTAATGTTTCTGTAGCTCAGTTGCTTAGGCATCACTATCTCACACATTGAGGTCTGTGGTTTGATCCCTAGTAACAGGTGGAAACAACTGGAAAACATCTGGACATGTTTCCTGAAGACCACCTGTGTCTTTGTTCTCCTGTCAGGGTACTGGTGTTTGTTGTGACTGGTGTGGGTTGAATCATGGGGACAAAGTTAAATTTTGTCTTTTACCTGGAGAGGGTTTCGGGGGTCGATGCCCTCCTCGGCCTAGTCTGGACTGGGCCTTGTGTGTGGTCTCTGGCTGATTCAAACCAGGCTGTTACTGCTGGCAGATGCAAACAAACATACCAACCACAGCCAGTGGTAGGTACCAACTTAGGTGCCTTTCTGCACTTTCTTGAAGCAGTCAGGGGTCTATTGGTAAATCTCCTTTTGTATGCTGGGAGGCAATTTGAACAGTTTTGGGCTCATGACACTTATTGCATTGTCTTTAGAATACTCGTGGCATCCTGCTTTTCTTTGGGGGATTGTTGAATTCCTGTCAAGTCTTATGGTTTGTAGGGAGTGATTTTTATGTGCATTTGGTACTAATCTCTAGAATTTTCCAAGTATCTTTTAGCCTGCATTCCAGGGATTACAAAATACAGTGAATTCAGCTGTTCCCAGCAATTTAGAGTTTTATCGTAACTTAACATATGCCGTGAAGGTTCTCTGTACCTTCTCCAGGACAATTTCACCTGCCTTGAAAGATGCAGCTAGGTGTACCGCAATAGTCTGCAATATGCCTGTTTCATGTACTTGCAGAAATAAATAGATTATTTTAATTATTTTTATTGCTCCAGGCACTTTATTAAGTCGCCTCTTACATCCTGCATGGCTTACAGAGGAAGGGATTCTTCTCACCCTGACCCCTAAAGGAAGGTTCCTTGATGTTGGCGAGGGGCTCTTGATTTAGGGAATTGGAATTTGTGCTCCAGTTTCCCGAATTAAGCCTGAATTGCCTTCCACCATCCCCCCTAGGCGCTGTATAATCTCGGGTTGTATAGCGCTTCCCCTTGATTATAACTAATAATAAATCTCAAACCTGAGAGAACAAAACAAACACTGGAGAGGTGAGAGCTAATTAGTTTTGATCCATGGAATGAGGTAGCTCCATTTACTATGATCATGTGACCTTCACAGATACGGTGGACGCCCTTGTCAAAGCCCCAGCAGGAGAGGGACACCCACACCCACCGGGTATTCAGTAACGGCAGTCCCCAAAGACCATTTTTAAAGAATTATCCGCAGGAGGAGAGAAAAAAAACATGGAGCTTGCTACAAGCGATGACCAGGTGGCACCTCCTGTAGTGCCCCGGGCACTACAGACGAGGACAAGTGTCCATACAGTCGGGAGAAGAAATTTATCACCGATACCCAGGCGAGTGACAGACGTCCACACCGAAGAAGGGGGCTGACGTAGAAGTCCTCTGAAAATAGTTTTTATAGATGGATAGTACCTTGTTGGGGGTTTATAGATCGACTACAACTTGCGCCGTATCAAGCTCTGTCTCTCGGTGCTCACGGAAAATATATCAAAAATAAATCTATATCAAAATCTTTATTTCCTTGTAAAGTTTACAATGTGTGGTTTACATGTTATAAAATATTAATATAAGA